GATGGCGGCGGTGCCAGTACTGTCGTCCCGCCCCCCCCCCCGCCAAGGCTCTTCAAGCCCCTTTGTGCTGGCTCTGGGGCAATGGCTCTGCGGGACCGAGGCACAGCTGCAGGTCTGTGCCCCGGGATCCTGGGGGGGCACCCCCAAGCTCCACAGCCAGGGATGTGGGGTGCCCTGAGGAGGGAGGGGACAGTGCAGCACCAAGCCCCTTCATGGCCTCAGCTGTGTTGGGAGTGAGATTGCCTGACAGTTGTGTGTTTGTTAACTCTGGAACCTACTGATTGCAAGAGGGGTGTACAGCACCCCTTTGCCTTGCTCAGTGCTGGAAGGGCAGAGCCTAGCTAAGACCCCCCTCTTCTGCCCCCTCCATTTCATGGGCATCAGCAAGCGATGTTAAAGTTTGCCCCAGCCCTGCGGGGCTCCCTGGAGTTGAGGCTGGTGCTGCTGTGGGTGGCTGGCAGGGTGTGCTCAGGGCTGTCAGTGGAGCTGGGCAGCCTCCCCGCTGCCACTGCCCGGCCTGTGCCAGGTGCCTGTGCCCCCATGCCATGGCTCTGCTGCAGCGGGGCAGGGGCAAACACAGCACTGGGCACCGCGGCGAGAGGGTAGGGATGGGTGGGATGTGCCGGTGGGGCTGGCAGAGCCACAACAGGCAGGCTGGGAGGGCACAGCAGCCTCTGGCATGGGGCTGGCACTTCTGGGTTCATCATCTCATGTGCAAGGGGCAGGGAGTGTGGGGGCCAATTACAGGGGCACCCCCCCACTGCAGCACCCAGGAGCCAGGGCCAGATGGTGAAGGCACCTGGGATACCCCTCTCCAAGTCACCCCATCCCCAGGGAACCCTTTCCAAGTCACCCCATCCCAAAGGACCCCCACCCCATGCTGGGGTTCCCCTGCCCCAGGTATCCTGCACCCCATTTTCCTGCCCTGGAAGAGGGGCTATTTTGGTAAATTATATAATTAGCATGTATTTGTACCTTCCGGCAGCCCCTGCCTCCCCCAGCCATGACTGCATCACCATCACCATGGTGAAGAGCAATGACATCAGGCTGATGACATCAGGGGCTGATTGGTACCCTGCATTGCCATTGCAGGAGCAGCCCTGCTACCCCATTAGGAGGCTGGGAAAGAAATTGAGGGTCCCTCACTGTTTTGGGGAAGGGGGCTGGATAAGGCTGGTGGCCCGCAGAGTGCTTCTGCCAGACTGAAATACCTCTGTGGGGGCAGTTTGAGTGGGGAAAATGAGAGGGGGATAACGCTGGCGATTCCTTCCATGGGGACATCCCCTCCCACCATTTACCCCACCACTGCCATGAGCTTCCCAGCCATAAATTAGGGCTCCTTCGGGAAGTGGGGGGCATCCGGGCACCCCAGCCAAGCTGTCATTGTGCGAGGCGATGCTGCTTAGCATGAGAAAGGCTCCGGTGCCAGGTGGCGTGATGGATGATGCCTGCTCTGCTGGGCTGGGGAATCTTTGGCCATGTGGTGGTGGGGTGGTCCCTGGGGAAGGGGGAGGAAGGGTCCTTCCTCTCCCCCTCCCTCCCCACCCCTGATGTTTGCACCCAAGCCAGGCATCTTTTGGGACTGCATGGGAGCACATGCATGGAAAATTTGGGGAGTGGGATAGGGACCTCCCCCCGCCCAACAAAGGCTGCATCCTTGCTGGGGGGCAGCTCCCCCTTTGCAGCCCAGCTCTGTCCCAACCCCACAGCGGGGCAGGGTGGAATCTCATCTTCCTGGATCCCTGGGTTCTCTCTGTCGTCCCCCCCCCATCCCGGTCTTTTACTATGTGGGGTTGGGAGGGCAGTTAATGAGTGTAAAGGACGGGGCGACCTTCCCAGATTTGGGGAGAGGAGGGGTTGTAGCAAGCTGAGGGGTGAGCACGCAAGCTTGTGCGCACGTGCATGTTCTTGTGCACGCGTGGGCACACATGTGGCTGTCCCCTTATTGGGGACAAGCATGCCAAAGCCCTGAACTGCAGGAAAGGCGGGGGGGGGGAGGGGGCAGCAGAGGCCTGGTGCTCTTGTTACACTGGTGGCAGGTGTCTCAGAGCTGGGGTGCCCCATCGGGCATGCAGGTGAAGCTGTGCTGGGGTCACCCGAACAGAGGGGTGGCCCTCTGGCTTTGGCACAGGGATGAGGTCCTCTTTGTTCACTGGGGCTCCAGGCTGAGCTGGGGCCATGCAGTGTTGTCCCATCCCCCCCAGACCCTTTGCCAGGGAGACTGGAGCGTTGCCCCCCCCGCCAGCTGTGCTGCTCATTAGGAGCCTCGTTAGTGCGAGCAGCTTAATCAGAGTCTTCCCGATCAGATCAGCCTGCTGGAGCGGGCAGTGTTCCCCAGCATGGGGACAGTGCCAGCGTCCCTGCCCCCACCCTGGGGACCCCTTGGCCCCGCTCCTGCTCCGCACCCCACAATTAGAGCCTCCCCCGGGGGGGCTCCCCCAGCCCCGCCAGTTGCTGTGAGCTCATTTCTGACAGAGCCTTTGCCCACGGGGTCTGGTGTGGGCACCCCAGGGCCCTGGCTGGGC